TGGAAAGTGTCCCTGACCATGGCAAGGGGTGGAACTAGGTGATATTTAAGGTCACTTCCAACCCTAACCATCCCATGAATCTCTGATCTTATTTTATTTTATTATTTTTAAACTTTTTAATGACACTATAATAAAAAGAAATAAACAAATCCATTGCATTTTGAAAACTATAACTTTGCTTCCAAATGTATGTTATGGCAAATTTTTATTAATTACAAATCTTTTTTTTGTTTTCTTTTTAAATGTTATATCCATTCTTAAAAATTGTAGGGAACAGTTGTACAGTCTGGTCTAACCTAAACCATCAATCCAGTTTGTCTTTCTAATGTGGTCTCTATTCATTGAGCAGTGACATTGTGGCCCTTCCATCCTTTTTATGTTGTTGTTTTTAACAAAATGGTGCACAAAGTGACTCTTGGTGCCATGGAAAAGAAACCAAACCCCATAAATAATTATTCATGAAGTGCTGTGAGTAAACACGTACAATGGAACATGACAACATATTACAAAAGAGCTGGGGAAAACACACATCTGCTTCAAGGAAAAGTACATGGATTTCCTCAGAGCAGGGTTTCAGGGAATAAATTAAAAGAAAAAAAACATGATATATAGATTAGGAGTTTAAAAAAAAGTCTGTTACTCAAAGTAGCAAGTAGTTAGATTGAAACTCTGATTTTTAGGCTATTGAGTTTCTATTATATATGAACTTAGTTTAATTTTTAGCCTGTCTTTTTAACTAAACATCTAGACCCAGTATGCAAAAAGGGAAAGTTTTCAAGGCTTACTCTCTGTAGAGTCTTCATAAAGTTTTAAAATCGACTGATCAGTGTGTTGGAGACTCAAAAATCTGAATAAATAAAAGAAAAAGAGTTTTGAACAAAGTTGTGAGACTAAAATTAGATATCTAAGTCTCTCACTGTTCTGAACTTTCAGTGTTTAAGTATATATGAGTTATGCATAAAAGTAAAACATTTTCCATGCTTTTTTTAACTTGAAGGGACAGTACCTTGTAGAATCTGTTGAAAGTGTTAGTATTTGTATGCTTTGATGATAATTTTTTTTCCTGGAAAGTTTCACTTGTGCAAGATTTCACTACCACAAGTTAATAATAACAATGAAATCCTTCTCCAATATTAAAAATAGAATGCTGTGACATTTTTCTTACGTGACTGGTGTGTTCTGTAACTAAGGCTGAGAAAAATGGTGTGTCCTTCTCGGTCACTAAATCCTACCTCTCTGCTGTGGTAACTCTCTAGCTTGTTTTTTAGAATCATGGAATGGTTTGGGTTGGAAGGGACCTTCAAGATCATCTCATTTCACTCCCCTGCCATGGGCAGGGACACCTTCCACTAGCCCAGGTTGCTCCAAGACCTGTCCAGCCTGGCCTTGGACACTTCCAGGGATGGGGCAGCCACAGCTTCACCGTCTTCATCATAAAAAAACTCCACATCAAATATCAAATATTCTTCCTTATGTCTAGTCTTTCAAGCCTAGGTCTGCTCCTGCCCCAACTGTGCTGCTCCATAACCATCATGGTGACGTAAAAGTCCTGAAAGCTCTTGGTGTTGTAAATGACTGTGATCTGGGCAGGTACTGGATGGAAGGTGTCAGAAAAGAAGAATTAATTTGAGTCCGGAAGAGGAAAAATAGAGTAGCTGGAGCAAAAATGTTCTGGAGAAAATGTAAACACGAAAAATGCGCTAACTAGACCTTGTCGTTCTCCAGCCTGCTTTTGGGAAATACACATGAACAGGTTTAGAAGATTTCATGTTGTTATTAGTTTATTTTCAGGTCATTTATTTAAGTGTCATAAAGAACATTAGCTAGTGGTTAGGGACTCCAGTCTCCATTATATCATTCCAATCATGTGGACAAGTTTATACCACACATGATTTACAACGCTCTTTCCGCCGCTGAAATTGTTCTATTCAGGTGCAAGGTTTTTATACAGGGTTGTATTTAGGAAAATCCAAGAGGCTGAGCACGGAGACATCTTCCAATCAGAGTCCAAAAATTAATGCCTTTACATGAACACCGTGGGTTGCAGCGAGAGCTGTTTATGGCTCTCTGCCTACATCCTTTATCATGTCTCCACTGTTGTTAGTAAAATATACAGAACTACTTTATGCCAAAACAATGGAAGTTAATGCAGATAACTCGTTCCAAAGTTAACCATCAAATAAATCTCTTCTCTTTTTTTTTTTTTAATTCAAACTGTTAAGTGAAATGGTGTTCTAAAACTTTTAGGAATTGTCAAGATGATGAATACTGTGTGTGTAATACAAGTAAATACCACAGAATTGATTGCACACACATGTCTTAAATAAAAGATATTAAAGAGTTTATTCCAGAGAGAAATCGGTGGAGTTTTATCTAATATTATTGGGAATTCTGCAGTGACGGGTCAGATTTATAAGGGTTGAAAACTAAGAAGGAAACCTCTTTAGAAACAGAAATGGTGCATTGAGTGGATGATTGGCTGGGAGATTAAAGACAGGCAGGGGGATACAGCCTCCCTAGGTAGCCCGACCTCTCACACCTCAAGCAGTTCTTCATAACAGCAATGATCTTTCAAAATCTGTTAGTTAAATTTAGTTTGGTAAATCAGTGCTTTCAGTGCAGTCACAGACTTGCACGTTTAGGGCAAATCCCTGTTTCTCCTTCGTTTTTCCCAAGCATAAAAATATAAAAGTATATCCTGATGGGTCTGTGTCTGTACTTCAGAGGAGCCACCACCAGCCAGTTTTAGGTCTGAGAGAATTTGGGTTTTTCAGCCTGGAGGAGAGAAGGCTTCAGGGAGATCTTAGAGCCCCTTCCAGGGCCTAAAGGGGCTCCAAGAGAGCTGGAGAGAGACTTGGACAAGGGCCTGGAGTGACAGGACAAGAGGGAATGGCTTCCCACTGTCAGAGGGCAGGGTTAGATGGGATATTAGGAAGAAATTCTTTTCTGTGAGGGTGGTGAGACCCTGGCACAGAGGAGCTGTGGCTGCCCCATCCCTGGAGGTGTTCAAGGCCAGGTTGGACAGGGCTTGAAGCAACCTGGGATAGAGGAAGGTGTCCCTGCCCATGGCAGGGTGTTGGAACTAGAGGAACTCCAAAGTCCCTTTCAACTCAAACCATTTCATGGTTTTGTGATTCTGTGTGTGGAATTCAGCCATATCAACTTTATACTGCCAAAACTCAGAGAATCTGAGGATGGCTAAGTCACTGAGATGGGAATGGTTTAACTCAGGCGTGTTTGTAACACAGGTAATGGATTTGGATGAACGTGGCTGAACTTTTTGTGGTTGTGTCTCCAGACCAGCTTCAATAAGTGATGGTGAGCTGCAGAAAAATGGTGGATCTCTCAGGTGGTTTAGTCAGTGGCTTGAAAAATGCAGCTTGTTGTAGATAAACATGAAAATGATATGCCAAGGAACAGCAGGCCAAATCTAAGAATACACATTACATGCAGTAGTTACACAGTGTACTGACTTGGGAAAGGGGATTTAGGGGTTTGAAGAAAAACCCTCAAAGCAATTAGTCAAGAGTACAACTGTAGTAAAGCTCACATAGTGTGTGTATGTTTGTATTTCGGTAGCGATTTTGGTGAAAAAGGGCCTGTTTGCATTTAAAGGTGCTTCCTTGCAGGGTGCGGTGAATGATTCCAGTGTTCAGGAATATTTGTTTTGACAGAGAGGGAAGGGAGTGGTTTGTTCTCAGCCCAGAGATGAGCTGTGATGGAGTAAAACTCCGAAGAACTGTGGAGGAGGTTGATAAAGTGGAGCAAGTGTTGGCTTTAGTAAACAGTTTAATGAACAGGCTATAGTCTGTAAACATTTGGAAATTAAAAGGAAACGGAAAATTTAAATGTCTCTACTTATCTGGGAGAACCATAATCACACTGAAAGGCATGTAAGTAAATAATATGTGGGTAAATTAACTGGAGGTACAGGCAGGCATTTAGGCTGAGGAGCCCATGGTGGCCATGCTTGGGTGTTCTATCCATGGTAATTTAGAAGAGTCATGGTTGGTTGAAGGAGCTTCACTCAAGTGTTTCCCGGGAAAGGATCGTAATTTGTTACTACTTTAATTCAAATAGTAAAACTGGATCTGCATAAAATGTTGTGTTTCATATATTACAAAAAATTACTTCAGTGGCCTCCATATAACTGTGCAAATGCATCCTGCTGTTGGGAAGGGTTTTCTGCAGCATGGTCATCAGATGGAAGAGCCAGTGGTGTCTAATCCTGCCTGTGGCCCCTCAGGAAGGGCATGAATAGCTCTGCCTCAGTTTCCTCATCTCGATGTCCATTACTCACACCTGTAAAAAAGCAATGGTTGTTTCTATCCTACCAGTGGATGTAGAACTCAGTCCTCTCCTCGAGATGGGGTTTTCTTTCTAGTTTGTGATTGATTGTTTTCAGTTGGTCATTATAGAAATCAGGTGAGGAAAGTTGGCTAAGAAGACCCACTTCCATGTCACGGTACCTGATTGATCCATGTCATTAGACACCAAACAGTTTTTCTCTGTCAGCTTCATTGACATGTGAGGAAGCAACTTGCTGAACTCAAGTCTAGACAGAATAGACTCACCTTAGGTCAGACACTGGTGTGTTTGGTATTTGCTGCCAGTCTTGACTGTAGTCCTGTCAAAAGTACCAAGACTTTGTTGGCAGAATTGCCTTTTTACTTCCAATAGGTATTTGCTTTATTTCATCTTAGCAGGTGTATAGTTTCGCTCTCCCTGTTGATGCATGTCACTTAGTGGCAATGTGGTTCAATGGAAACCTTTGTCTCCTCAGTCAGGGAACCTGTTATGTTATTTCACAGGTACCATATTCACTAAAATAAGTATATCAATTGCTGAATGCTAGTGGAGTTTTTGTTTGGATGGCTGCAAAATACCAACCGTGTTTTTACCTTCATGTTTGCTATTTAATTAATTGCCAGGTGAAAGTGAAAGCCAACATGAATATAATACACTTTTTTTGTTTTGTTTTGTTCTTTTTTCCCCAATAGGTTCATGCCAGAGCACAAGCTTGCCCGTTTGGAAAGGGTAGTTGGTGTTCAAGGAAATGGAGATGGTTGTCAGTCAGGGGCTCTGCCTGGCCAGCACAAGGGCAGAGCTGTAATGAAAACCAGCGATGTGCACCGTGGGTCTGGACTTTGTGAGTCCCAGGCTGGACTCGGTACCACACAGCACGAGGGGCTGCCTTCCCCGTTCACAGCCCTGGCGAGACCCATCCAGGCCAAGGCATCAGAAGGCACAAATCCCTGTCAAGAGGAAGATAAGCAATGTCTGACTTTTAACCTCTCTAATATCTTGAGTGGACAGGACTATCAGCAAAGACCCCTGCACATTGCCTGGCCTCACAGGTGGTAAGTGAACAAATCCAAATACTGTACCTTCAGAAGATTTATGGATTTGGGTTTATCCTTTTTCTGTGGCTTCTGTCCAGTATAAAATAATTTCCTAAACACGGACAGACACTGCACACACAAGTAGAGGAAACACCCATCACTAACATGTGATTATTGGGAATAATTTGTTGAATATGCACAGTTCAGTAACGCTAACCAGACGTTCTGCCAGTGATGGCAATGATTCCTCTTTTTTTTTTTTTTTTTCCCCCTAAGAAAAGGATATCCCTACTGCTACAACACAGCATAATTCTGGTAACTCTCTTTTCCTATCAAGCAAACCACAGATGACAATTAATATCGAATGTTATTTAAATTATCTTAATTACTTTAATGCAAGTGATTAAGTGTCAAGATACATGGCGACACTGGACAGCTGATGTTAACCCACTGTCTGCAGTTTGAAAACACCCTTTCAGTGTTACATAAATAGAAAGCCTGTTTGAGTGTATTAAGAGGGAAACTGTTTTTCCAACTGCTAAACACAAATACCTGATCTCTGAATCTTCTCAGAACGGACGAAAATCTACCATGCCACATAATCGCTAAAAACATATAAACTTTAGCTTGACTCCTACATAAATTAGGATTTAAAGAGGTAAAATGTCCTGATAATCTTCCGGTATTGGGCACGAACATTTTAATCTAGTTTTTATTCCTCGCAGTTTGTTTAATCTGCATGTGGCCTGATTAGAGTTCACTTCATCCACAGATTATGGTCTGTTTATTGCAGAGATGCTGGGTCGATCAGTAGGTCAGATTTTCCGGGAGCAACTGTTTTCAGGTGAAGCAATAAGTACAGCGCACCGACGGGGCAAATCGCCTTTGCAGGGGATTTGACTTCCAGCACATTAAAACTCCAGAAGCTCTCCCAGATGATCTGCAGCATCTGGTACCTAAAGGGATTTTCATCTTTGACTCTAAATGTCTGAACATAAAATTTAGGGATTGGAAGTTGATGTGGAATCTGTCTTTGGATTTGTTTAATCAACTTCACACTTCCGACACAGCCTTTCTTGGGGAGGCACATTTATTTTTAATCATGTTTCCCTGCTAATGTTGAAATGCTCTGTTTTCTCATAGGTTATTTTAAAATTTAGTGCATTGAAAGGATAGATAGTGCATGTTTTCATTTGATGTGGAAAGTGTATGAAGCTTAGTGTCATTTTTATTTTTTGAAGAATTTTATCCCCCTTTGCTTCAAACCACATTTTTAAAATGCATATTTTTAAGATAGCCACTTATAAAAAGTTTTACGATGCTGAGCTGGTTTTTTCCTCTTTTTCCTTTTTTTTAATGTTAACCTGAATTGTTCCAAATGTTGCATTCAAAAAGAGCAGAGTTAAAGGGAAGGAAAATATTTTCCATTTTATTCAGTAGTTTGCATAAACCAGCACAAAGCTAAGTAATAAAATCAACAATATTAAATTGAATAATTCCTTTCCTCTCTGTGTATATTTTTGCTTTAATTTAATTTAATTGCCTAAAGTTAGTTGCTTAAAGAGATGCAGCATTGTGTTCATGCACATACTTATTGTTAAAGCTAAATTATTTTTAATTTGGAGAAGAGAGAAAAAAAAAGCCGCATCAGCAAGAGCAAATGCCAAAATATAAAAGTAACACATTCATCCTTACGGGTAATATAGTAGAACATTGGAAACTTGGAGGTTGCCAGACACACAGCTAACATTAGGGCTAATTTTGAAAATCTAGCGTGCAGTCAATTTTACTGATGCCTGGGGACATACAAGGTAGAAGCTGACAAGAGAACTAATTTTGTTTGGGTTATTTACTGCTATGCATCATCCATGGGTTCCCGCCTGACACGCAGCTATATGAAGGGGAATATTATCACACACTAAAAATTTATGTTGACATTCGATATTTGTTCAATATGTCAGCAGTATTACTTTCATAATCAAAAGAGTAAGAAAAAGAGGAAAGAAAAGCACTTTATGCTCGTATAGATATATCTTTTTAATAACAGTCTATAAGGTTAATATAGTTTACCTTTGAGAGTATACAATGAAAACAAGCAGGGTTAGCAGGGAAAATGACAGAAAGCATCAACCCGAGCTGTTTGTTTGCCATTACCTAAGCGAGCCATGTCAGCTCTCTGGCCCGCGTCTGATAGCTATTTGTTGTACAGAGAGCACAGCATAAAAAAAAAAAAAAAAAAAAAAAAAGAGAGAGAGAGAAGGGAAAAAAAAATATCAAACTCTTAATACTATTGTGGGCCCATAACCATCTGTCACTGCTAGCCTGGAGATGAGAGGAAGATTACGAGGAATAAACACTGAGCCGCCGAGCATTGGTAAAGCCTTCGGGCAAAAAACTCTTGTGGGGACATCAAAGACATTCTAATTCCGAGGCAGTCAAGGATTACAGTGTGTAACCTGTGCTGACAACAGATAAATGACTGGCAATATTGTGCCAGAGCTGTTGGGTCCTGCATGGAGTACTGATGATGATGATGATGATGATGTTATCTTGCAGAATGGACTCTGCTGGGATAATTTTATGATAAAACACTTTTTTCAAATGCCACTGGGTCCAGGCAGGCATTTACTAGCTACGGGGGCAGCAATCAGTTTCTTCAAAATTTACTGTTCTAAGCCCATTAGAGTTCCAGCGCAGCAAGGCTCTCGATGGAAATCGAAAGCGCCTGCCTCCGTCTGAGGATGCTGCATGCAAATCTTCCGGGCTGAACTCCTACCCTTTAGTGTTGGGATGCTTTAGCAACTGGTTTATGTAAATTCACCCAACAAAATAAGGCGGTTTATTTTTAATTGACGAATGGGAATTAGAAAATAAGGACGCTGGGTTAGCATTTGCTGAACAGCCGAGCATCCTCAGCCTGTAGCCTGGACAGAGGTGAAAACAAGGGGCTGGAAACAACCCCTTGGCTGGGCGGTGTAGCCAAAAATAAGCACTCGTTGCCTTATTAGAGGCGGAGGCGTCGCGTGCCTTATTCAGGCATCAGCAGTTAAAAGCACCCCCTTCTTGGGCCTAGCACGAGGCTCTCCGAGAAGCAGACTAATTTTAGCCAAGTACTGTAATGTGCAAGGGGGTTTTTTTGTGTGTAAAACGTTGGCAGTGGGATCCTGCTTGTCTTCCAGCATGAAGTGCTCGCAGATATTGTCCTATACAATAATACTTAACGGCCATTGTCTACCCTGATGATTTACATGTGGTTTTCATTTTGGGGGGGGTGGGGAAGTAGAAAAGGAAGAAATTTTTTTTTTTTTTAATGTTCTTGTGTTCCCCTTCACCTAGCAAAACCCCCCTTTGGCTAAACCATAAAACAGAATCTCTGTGAAGTCGTGCTGTTGTTGCAGAAAACCTCTCTAAACGAAGTGGTGCTGACCTCACCGTGTTGGTGCACCGCAGGGACCGCCAGCACCCTAAATTACAGCATTAGCCCCAACGCCTCTGCTAAGTCAACCCAACGTAGGCCCTGCCCCCTTGGAACAGCATCAAAATCAGAAGTGCCGTTCTCTAGCAGACACATTCTTGCTTCAGAGAGGTGTTAAAATATCTTTGCATGAGAAGAGGCCCTCCAATGCAATCCCTGCCCCTTCTCTCCATCCCCCTGACTCTGAGGGCTGACAGGGATTTTAGTGTGCAAGTTCTGCTGACAGCTGATAAATAACTGACAGTATTTTAGCCGAGTCACGAGGTTCTCCACAGAGTAATTTGTTTTCTCCTTTCTCACCAGGTCTTTTATGTTTTCTTATAAACATCTACAGCAAGGCACTGCTAACAGAAATGACTTATGGCCAAGGATACGGATAAAAGGTGGTGATGGGTTTCTGAGCTGTGTTCTTGCAATGGCTGTGCCAAGGAATTACTTTTCCGTTTGTGCCAATGGGCTTTGCTGGAAACAGAGGGCAAAATTCTGGTGATCAGTGGACAAACTTCCCACATTTGATCAGAACTTTGAGGTGTCCCACTGGTTTCCATTGTAAGGTGATAAAATGCCTATTTAGAATCATAGAATCCTTTAGGTTGGAAAAGACGTTTAAGGCCATTGAGTCCAACCATAAATCATTATGTACAACCATATTGGACATGGTGGGCTGAGTCCAGAAAAGGCCACAAAGATGATTAGAGGGATTGAACATGTCTCCTGAGAGGAAGGGCTGAGAGAACTGGGATTGTTCAGCCTGGAGAGGAGAAGGCTTCATGAAGACCTTAGAGCCTCATCCAAGTACCCGAAGGGGCTACAAGAGAACTGGAGAGGGACACTGCACAAGGGAATGGAGTGACAGGTCAAGGTGGAATGGCTTCACACTGACAGAGGTGAAGGCTAGGTTGGATATGAGGAATAAATTTTTCCCTGTGAGGGTGGTGAGACCCTGGCACAGGTTACCCAGAGCAACTGTGACTACCCCATCCCTGGAAGTGGTCAAGGTCGGGTTAGATGGGGCTTGGAGCAATCTGATCAAGTGGAAGGTGTCCATGCCCATGGCAGTGGGTGGAACTGGATGGTCTTCAAGGTCCCTTTCAACACAAACCATTCCAGGATTCTATGATACTTGAAGTGCTGCTTTGAACTCAAGTCATTCACCCAAACCTTATGTTTTTTCTTTCTCCCTGTGTGCTCTGTATCATCTCAGCAGTTAAATGCTTGATAAGAGAAAGTTGTCACAAATCAATTCTCCTTCCCCTAATTGCACGGGTGTGATTAAAAAAAAAAAAAAATCACACGGGGAATCTACAGGAATTTACACACACATGCAAACAAATAGCTGTTGTCAATTCACGTGGAAGATCTCATAAGGCTGTTATCTCGTGTCGTACCTACCGATGTGTGACAAGAGCGTGGGGAAGGACAGGGGGCAGGAGATACGGGAGCAGGAGGAACGGCGGTGCAAGTCACGATGAGTAAATTCAGAAGAGAAAAACGCAAATCTAGATGGCAACAATTATCTGAGGATGTCTGGTGTAAGGGAAAC